ATTTGTGAGGTTTGCATTTCGCATGAAAATGCATGACGAAGAGGTTAGTTGTTTGATCTAATCGGAAAACCAAGAACGATTTCCGTTGTACTGCAGCCATCTGGCTTTAATACAACGTTCAGGTTGACACAATCCACGAGATATTCTCCCTCTTTTCGAGCGAAAACGGTCTGATCTTTCGTCCATAATATGATGGTTAACGCCAGGTCAAGAGAATGTCCGGTTCTATCTTACGTCTTATACATACGCATAACTAAACACGAAAATGTATGGAAGCAAATAGACATAGAATAATTTGACTAATTCCTTCTCATGTTGGTGATGGCACTTTAACCTGAGTGTGTATCTGTGTGTGTCAATCTTCATGTGCAATAGCAGTCCTAAATCAGAGTAACCAAAACAAGCGTCAAGGTTCAATGACCCAAACAAAAACCCTTAGTCGAGACTACGTAAGTCCATAGGTACCTCTGGTTGAGTAAGATTGTAAGCGTGTAAGTCAAGTTACGAAACCACCCGTATAGGGCTTAGGGTTTAACGATCCAAGGATAGGTATGACTGTGAATGGGCAATCTTGACCATCTGATGCGATAGGAAGCTACGGAGGATTACGGCAAAGTGAAGACTTTTGGATTGTGGATTCGAGTGATTGCGTCTCCGAAGAATCCGTGGCGAGCTTTCGTCCGTCCTGTTGCAGACCTTGGCAGAATGAGAAACCGTAGCTTATGAAAAAGTGCATTGGTATGCTAAACCACGGCTGCTGGCTGCAAATCTACTCATTTCTTCATTTTGTTAGATTAATCAGGTGGGGATTCTCATTTCGTATGATAGTGCATGAAGAAGAGATTCGAAGATGGATCTCACCAGAAGAGCAGCCCACGAGACCTCCTCCCTCATTTCAGGTGAAAACTGGCTGAGCTTCCATCCATCACATGATGGAGATCATCGGAGCTGTGGTTCATTCTTGTAAGGTTCTCAAGTTAACACTAAGGCAAGAAAACTATCCGGCTTTATCTCACATCTTTTATAGTCTGCGCTTAAAAGAAAGATAAGAGAGGATATTGAAACTAATAAATTGTGAAATAGTTTGAATGTGAGGAACGGTGGTAGAAGGTTGAATAGGAACTATTTATGCTTGATTTATAGATTGAAGGATAAAGAAGGTGTTGAACCTCCATCTAAAAGTAGGTGACTAGAATAAAGATGATTAACAAAGCCATTCTATATCGATCTATGTTTTCAAATTCTCTTTTGCCTAAATGAGAGTATATAAGAGGCGCAATCTCGACCATCTGATGTGATAAAAAGTTTAATCTACACTTTGGACGAGTGTGGACAAGATTGGAACCATCAATGAGCGCACGAGTTGAGTCGCCTCCCTTTGGATGGCAGCTCAGCACCCTCCCTTTCCTTTAATCTATCAGTCAAGCATAAATAATTCTTCGAAGATATGAAGACCAAGATGGTGTAGCCTTTTGTGTGTTCGCAGTCTCCTTTCGTTGTAAAGAAGTTGTTTGAACTTGTTTTCGCAACTTGGTCACATTGTTGGGAAGACTTAGAGGAACGCACTCAGTCCGGAGTCCATTGTATGCATCATCATTTCCAGAGTAAGACCGTGGACGTGGTACATTCCCAGACGTTTCGCCGGCATCGTCAGTGAGTCTTGTCATTCTTAGCACCACACAACAACCCGTCATAGAGACAAGTGAAGCCGATCCTTTGACCAAATGTGTGATAAACAGTTGTGATATTTCTCCTTCTGTACTGGCATATTCACCTTTCCTATATCCTCGTCTCACACCTTCACTTTTTTTTCTTGCTTGCTTAAATGTAGTGTGGTGTGCCCTTTTGAGTGGTTTTCATGAACCCCACCCACTCCACACTGGCATTCTCACCCCTCCCCTTCACCCCTGTGCTGGGAATGTTGATCAGAGTCTGCAATATTGTTACCTAGTCCTCTTTTCCTAGGTCTTATCACAGTCTCCCTCTTGCCCTCGTCCACTGTCGCCCCATATGTGCTACTCTATGTGTTATTTTTCACACTCTGCTTCTGAGAGACAAACTCGAGATTAAAGCTCATGCTCTAGTCTCCGCCGCGTTTTCCTATTTCCATCCGTAATACCAAGTCTATGACTTCCTATGCCCTAGTCTTTGTGTGCCAACACACAATTGTTGTGATGCTGCTTGCTTTGATTAGGTCCAATGTTGAACCACAACATTTGTGGGTTGCACACAAGATAACATAGCATGGCAATTCATAGAATTGGTATTAGAGATAGAAACAGGATAGACTCAGAGGGTTGGAAATAACGCCTCGAGTAGCACAGATGGGGTATCAGGAGTCTAGTGAAATACTTAAACCAGGGAGATAGCAGTAATAGTTGCCTTGTCGTATTGGGACTACTCATCTGATTGTGGGAAAACTCCACTGTCACTCTTTAAATCAGCTTAATAGACCTTGTGTGACTAGCATCGTATTCAAGAATTGCTGATAGTTTGAATCTTACTCACGTCAGAAATAAGTAGTATCACTGATTACGATGAAATATGCATGATTGCCTCTTCGATAATCCCTACTCAATTGTGATTTTTTTTGGTTGTGCTTGCTTTGAAAGCCACGTCGGTCTGATATGCTGTTAGTAAGCGAGGATTTGTGCTACTTTACGTGCCCAACCTGATTTCGGGTCCCATTGTGAGGGAGGCGGTGGATGAAAAGTGAGGCAAGATCGAAAATGCAGTCCATATTAGAGGATAAATACCGGATTGAATTGAATTGCATCACATTACGGGAAAACCAAATATTAAACCTGAACTCACTTTAATGTATATAGGCTGACCAAGTTATTATTCAAGAGTTACGTGTACTCTTGAAACATACCCATAATGCGCTGCAGAACAGCTGAGTTTTAAGGCATACTCGTTGTACCTAATCAACCCCACAATTATTGTGAGGTTAGTGTCTTAGCGAATGTTGGATTGCCTCTCAACTTGATAGGATCGGTGAAGGAGAAGCGTGATTCACGGTAGAAACTACCAATGCTTCAATCTAAGCTGGTGTTTTTGCTTCAACCCGGTGGTACGTCATGGTGACTGGACAGCAGTCCAGTCTGGAGGAGAAAGACAAAGTGGATTTTAATGACATCGTCACGTCGGGACTAGCTTACAAGCTTCTGACGGACATTATTGTCGACTCAACACTTTTGCTTGAGGAAGGCGAAAATCTGTACCTCTTTATTTGCGCCCTCTCTGAACTCAGACGAAGCGGACACTCGACCGAGCTTCGAGGCCCGTCAGATGGAGACATGTCGACCCGACTGACATGACGCCTGTTTCAGCCTCCATTAAAGACACACATACCAAGACCAAGATTTTTTGGCCTCTATTTTGGTTGCAATTGTCTTTAGATGTATAGAAGTGGGTCGACTTCGTTGGACGCATCTTGTCGAAAGTTTTCTGCCATAGCAGTTATCATATTTCCAAGAATCGGAGCATGAACTTGGTAGATTCCCAAACGTTTCGTATTGTCGCTTTGACGACACGTCCAGTTGCGACAACGAAGTTAGACCAACTCAACTGAAGACAATTTACGAGCCCATGTCAATTGCCCTATCAAACGAAGTGAACGTTAAAACCACATGCTTTTGGAGTTTCGTGCTGCAGAATCGGTTTCTGCCAATTTGAGTCCAGCTTCTGATTACGACTAATTTACAGTTCTGCCGCTTTATGCGTTTGCCCGACAACAATGCAGGAAATACGAGCAGCTCCAAGGCCATGAGCTCGAGTCCCGGCGGGAATGCGAACAGCGCAGAGGCACGAGGACAGCTGCTCTCGCATCCGAAGGCAGGCGCCACTTTTGTCCTCGCCTCAGTCCGCCGTCGGACGAAAGAAAGGACTGAAGATGAGCAAAATAATGCCTATAAATTGAGGTTTGCAGTGATTTTGACTCTTTCGACAGTCAAGTCGCTGCTGAGAGAGCAACAGTAGTCCGGTCAAAATCAGTCGAATGGCAAATTGGCAACTTGTTTTAGGCGGAGATGAAAATGGGATGAAGTTCATGGTTGAAGTTTCAACCGTCGCGATGGGGACGACACGAGGCTAAAGTGAGGCGAAACGAATAGAGTCAAAGGGGGTAAGGGGGGGGGTGGGAGGTCACAAAGAGAATAAATTAACGTTGTATGAAGTGTAGGAAAATATTCGGTGTTGTCAAGTTGCTGCGATCGACCAAGAGACATGAAACTATGGAGGATGCATTGCCAACACCAGCAAGACCCTTTCACCCCTCAGAGTGACCTCAAATGTACACTCGCACAATCAACTGACACTTTGTCCGTATCCATCATGTGGCCTGTTGAAGCTGGAATTGCCTCGGATTCGCCTTTCCGGCTGTCCCTCCGTATTCTTCACAGGTGACGAGTGTGTTTGCGGCTTATATGTAAATTCGTAGTTCCTCATTCATAAATCATACACAGTACAATATAGAGACTCCCAAGGCAGGCATTATGCACAGTAGGCAGAACGACAACAAAACTGCCCCAAAAAGCTCAAATACGCCTTGCATCAGCTGAAGCAACTTTAAGCCGTTCGTGGGATTCAACATTCCCCACCTCCTGCTAGACTCGACCTTTTCTCCTTTCCATCTCTGCCCGCATACCAAATACTTCCTTTTAGACGAACTATCCGGAAAGTTTAACAACTCGCGGCTGCCAGGAATCACATTATTGCCAAAATGTTTTTTTATTTGCATTGAAACTCCCTGCCCCATGAGGTCCGATCCAGCCCTGGTGGGACTCGAAGTATTCTTACAGTTCCAGTCCAATCTGGTCTGTAGGTTTGGCCTCGCCTCATTTGATTTGCATCACCCGCGGCTGGATTCGAACCGTGGAGATTGGGGTTTACGAATCAAAAAGGTCACTCTCTCAGCCAAAAGACTCTAATTGGTTGGTTTAACCAATTCGAGGCGGAAAATCTCTTTCACCTCCCTTCATTGTGCATGAACATATCTCAGCAACATTGTTTGGTACGCCACAGATACTGTAGCTAGTTGTACTTCTAGGATAGATGATAAAATGAAGTTGAGACGGATAGCCTCGACAACGGTCTTCAAAAAAGATACTTCACAAGCTGCAGTCTTTCTGGGGCTGTAAGTACACGAGATGAGCATTTGCATGAAACCTGGTCAACTGAAAGCATTGCCGATCACAATAATCTTCAGTTCTTTCTTTGAGGAGAGGCTGGGTTTTGAAAAATGCCCCAATTATTTCCTACTATTGGGTTTTTTATTACGCATGAAAATAATTAATGCTAAATAAGTAAGTTGTCTGATCTCGTTTTCGCAACTTGGTTGTGTTGTCAGGTCGACTTAATTGAACACACCTCGTCCGAAGTCGGATCAGCAAATCAAGAGGGAGCGGGGTTCGAGCTAAGACGCCACACTGCACTCGCCAAAAAAGGCACCCTTCTGGAGGAGTGGAATATAAACAAGTCAGAAAGTGCGATAGGGCGAGAGTGAGATAGAAAGAGGGGTGACAACACAACCATTTCGGTAAAAAATGGCTTAAGGGAGTGACTTTATTTGTCTCTACGACGAGTTGTAGCTCGATAATCAGAGTGGCAAGTCTCACTGAGGATGCGGGCGGAACGTCTGGGAATGTACCAAGTAAACAGAGCAACACTGGGAATTATGACAACTACCATAGTAGAGGACTTCGGACAAGGTGTGTCCAACCAAGTCACCCTGACAACAGGATCAAGTGCGAAAACGGGGTCACATCACGTCTATCCATCGAAAGGAGACAGCGACCAAGACAGAGGCCAAAACTACTTGGTTTTCACATCTTATTATGTAGGTTTCGAAATTAA